ATTTTATCTATAAACTATTGTCTGCCTGAACTGCCACAGACAGAAGGGTATAGTTTCTCCAAGAAGCAGAAATTATATTTATCTATTGGACATCACTATAAACCTGTGAAGGATCCCTATAGCCATGTCATTGTTATAGTACTGCTATTAAGAAGGCCACGGTACTATAATACTACCTAGTGTGACAGGTCACTTGAAAGTGCTCTTAGAAGTAACTATGGGATGTCAGGTCTAAATATTAAGCTTAAAGTATCTTGTACCGCCTGTGATAAAACAATCTTAATAAAGAAACACTGGCAAGACTGCCAAAGTTGAAAAAAAAAAATAATTATTGTTTTCTAAATATATACAGTTAAAGTTTGTTTTTAAAAGCATATACTTATAAAGGCTTTGCTATATTATAGTTTGAGTTTGTTTATATCCAAATCTTAAATTAATATTTTAATAATTTTTACTTAAACAAATAATATATACAGTTAAATTTCTCTAAATATATGCTTTTAAAATTACATTTTAACAATATATAGTTATAGAATAATAAAAAAATATATTTATAAAGATTAAATATATATTTAGAACAGAATTTTAGTATATATTTATAGAAAGAATTTAGTTAGAATAACATCACTGGTATATAATTAGCCAATAATAATAAACCAAAAAAATATTTTATTTCATTTACTTTAGAGTTAGAGTAAGACCTAAGATTTTAGCAAAGTGTTAGATATATGCAAAATTTAGCAAAAAATTTTTTTATAAGAATATTGAAGGTAGTTTCATAGGTAAATTTTTGAGATATCAGCAGTTTTTAAAAAAATCTTTTATTGTTATTACACAAATTGATTTGCACATTACACCTGATTCTGCAAATCTATTGACTAATTATATATTGATAATGATTACCACCAGTTATAGTTACTAAAATACTTATAGAAAATATACAGAAAAGTTTAACTATAATCTTTTAATTGTATATTATTTATTTTCAAAGTTTTAAGTTATTTTTTTGATTTTTTATAAATAGTAATTGTTTTTTGAAAGGTTTAAGATTTGTTTGAATAGTGGGTGTGATAATTTAGTGAAGTAATAAAGTTGTCACACCTCAAGTAGTTGAGTATTAGTTCAATTCTCATAGAGAGTAAAAATTGAATTTTAAAATAAACAAATTTAGCAACTATCATTATGACTAGGAAAACTTAAGACTTTGTAAGTATACATTATTGGGCAAAAATTTTTGAATAACAGTAATTTTGTTCAACAGGACAAATGAATACGTACCGCTTTGTGGCACATGTTAGCCAATCATTTGCCCGGTTGAGCCAAATTATCATTTTTCAAAAATTTGCTAAATAATGGTATTATTCGACAATTTATAATCATGATTGGTAGAGAGTTATTGGCTAAGTTTTAATTCAAATAAATGTAAATATTTCATAATATATGAAAAAAATAACAGACAGAAATACATTCATGATCATAAAAGTTTGTCAGATAACTATAGTTATACCAAAATAACAATTAGAAGATCTTAGAACATTTGTATAATAAAAAAGTTATATAAAGATATACAAGCTAGTTTAGTTAGTACAAACTCTCAATAAGTCCTTTGGGTTGCAGAAAGCTGCAGAGCTGATACAATAGTAGGATGCTTGTTTGGCAAGTTCCAAATAGAAAAGTAGCAAAGACTTTTAATGATACTACTAGAACAGACTTCACTCAAGGCTGGTATAATTAGACAAGAACTAGGTATTCAGAAAGAGGTACTTCACCAACCAGGCCATCAGAATGCTGAAAGAAAAAGATCTGCAATACAAATATCAAGGGACTAGTATCCTTTCTAAGCTATTTAAATTGGTAGTCTGAGCAAATTGGCTAGGGGATATTGAAAAGAAAAGGTACCTTGAAGGAGATACTGAGGTTTGAGTGAACTCTATAAGGATTTTGTAATAGTAATCAGATTATAGTATAGTTAAAACATTACAAAAAAACTTGCAATTACAAAACAGCCAGAAAACACTTCTGTTATGGAACTGGGATGCAAGTAGTGGATTACAGCCCATATATATCAACTAAAAGACTAGGTTAACCAGATTGTGAGTATAGAAGACTCTAGCAGATTTATTACAAGGATAAAGTAGTTCTAAAGAATCTTAGTGATAGTTTCTCTTTGAAAAGAATATCTAATAGCACTAAGTTAATTAAAGGGTTTAATTAGACAACCAAAATAATGTGAGTTATAAGTATAACGTCTAGTGTAGAATCTAGTAATAGGCAGACTACTTAAATTAGATACTTAAAAGGCAAAGATATAGCTAGAATATATCCTTATTAATATAACAAAGTCAATAATAACCTATGTGATTGCCTTGGCATTCACAACCAAAGTTAATAAAATATACCAAACTCTAAAGTGATCATCTTAATATTAAAAAAAAAGATTTGTTTAAATTTTATTAGCTAATAGCAATACTTTAAACAAGAGATTTATTTATAATTAATATAGTTTAATTAAATTTAATTTATATTTAATAATAATTATTTTTTTTTTATAATCAAGATTAGCCTCTTTGCTTATTACTTTTATTAAATTTATTAAAATCATATGGTGCTCTTTTCAAGAGGGCCTTAGACAAGTATATTCTGATGAGAGTATATTCTAATCATACCTGTACCTTTTAAGTATCTAATTTAAGTAGTCTGCCTATTACTAGATTCTATATTAGATGCTGTATCTATAAGCTATTATTATTTAAGATACCTAATTAAATCTTCTAATTTGAGTTTTCTATACTAATTTGTTTGAAAAATGCAATATATTAATTAGTTTAAGTTTTAAAATTGTCATGTTTTATCTATAGAACAGCCTTTCTAACACATCCTTAAATGCATTACCAAATTATATATGGGCATATAGATATATTATACAAAAAATATATGAAATTTCTAGAAGTCTATATAGTTAACATTTATATTCTTATATTACATCCTCTATTATATATAAAAAACTAACCCTAATCAACTACATCACCTGCTAAAGTAGTCTAATATCTATTATTACCATAATACCTAATCTGTTTCAGTAAAAAAACTCTAAACTTAATGACAGAACAATGCAAAAAATACTTCTAAACTGTGAAAGAACAAAACCACTAATGAAAAAAATTCAAAACCTATAAAAAAAATCAAGTTAATAAACATAAAAAAAAAAAAAGCTTATCGAAATTATTTTGTTAGTGATTTCTTCAATTAAAATTTCTTTTTAAAACTGTAATATATAGTTAATTCATCAACTATGCTCCAGAAATCTATGACTCTAAGCAAGCCAAGTTAATACAAGAATAATAGGAAAGAAAAAAAAACAAGTTAATACAAAAACAACAAGGAAGAAAAAAAACTAAAAACTACTTATAGAATTCCAAGATACTATAACACCAACAACAACACCAACAATGAAACCAAATCTGAAAAGTAACAAGCTAAAAAAATTAGAAGTAGAAAGTGAAGCAAAAAGATGCAAAAGCAAAGTAAAACAAAACAAATAAAAAAAATTAATTATCATAATATATAAAAAAAATTTATATATAATTGCTAATCATGAATATGATTAGCTGATCATATGGGGTCACTGTGCGACAGGTCTTCATTTTATTTTTGCCTTGTATAAAATATTTAATATTAATAATAAAAAAACAAAACTTCTTTTAACAAAGTAAATTAAAAAAAAAATATTGATTTCATATGATTTACCTATTTATAAACCAGTTTTCTCTGATTATACTTGTTATGTTCATAATGCATCTCCTTTCACAGTTGTATTTTGGCAAAAGCTCTCACCTTAGTACATCTAATAATCTATTTTTTATAGTGAATATTTGCAAACTGGAGAAAGATCAAGCAAAAGAAAAAAAAATTGCATGGTTTTGAAGCTATTAGTTTACAAGAAAAAGCTAGTTATGGGACTAGCGATAAAATGTCATTAAAAATATTATCATAGTTATTGTGGTGGCTGAAGCTGAAATTGTCTTAGGCTGAAAATTTGACCTATTTTATTATGAAAATTTAAAAATTTTTAGAGTACATTTTTTAACTTTTTCAGGATTAGGAGTCAGCTTTATGGGTAGAATTTATAATAAACAAGTATAAGTGGGTTTTAGTACCTAAATTGAAACCCCCAAATTTTCAGCTTCATCCCCCAACAGTTATTAACCAACCAATACTTTAGATTATATTAACTCAATTTTAGTTTAAGATCCAGATATGTATTATTCAAGAATAACAATTTTAATGATTATGCAGAACACTTATCACTGACTTGTTCAAAGGATCGCCAGCCCGAGAACAAGATTATGTGAACAACACAGATATAAGGAAAGACTGCGTACTTATTGTCATTAAAATAAAAAGCATCTAATAAATTAATTTCTCTTCTATGCGAAAAAAGTTTAAAAATTTCTAAAATAAATTTTCAGACAAAAGGTAACTAATTTACATTCATCTGATCATTTATTTAAAGCATTGATTCGTTTTCAAATAAAAATGGCAGTATATTATTTCGGATAAAAAAGTGGTTAACTATAAATAAATACAAATGTAAATAAATAAAATGTGCGCATAAAGCCAAAAAAAATATTCCAGCTTAAAAAATAATATAATTATAATGAGACTATTAGAAAAATAGAAAAACAAATCATTAATGAAAAACGTATGGTTAAACAAACGTATGGTTAAACAAACGTATGATTTGGATTATTAGAAAGGTCACTAAAACTGTCGCTATGTTCAACGACTGTATTATGTTGGATTAGTTCATTTTTGTCATTAGGATTTGATTCAGATTCATCATCCGACATATCTTTAAACTTTTTGGTTATATCAGTATCACGTCGAATCCGAGCCGCAGCTTGTACAGCACCAACAGCCTTGCGAAAGGTTTTAAGAGCATCAAAATTGGCCAATAAATCCACATCCATTGCATTTTCTCCACTCATCCATTTATGATTTAAGGCTTCTTTCGCTGATGGACGTTGTTCAGGATCTAATGTAAGAAGACTGCGAACAAAATCTTTGGCTGTATTTAAAAAATTATTGATTATAAATTAATATTACAATAACAGTTTATAACAACATTTAAAATATATATTTATATATAATATACAAAAATTACGAATTCATACCATCTTCAGACACGTTTCTCCAGAATCGTGGTTCGAATCTTACACGAGCATTAGTAACTTCGTCATAGAATGCATAACGATCTTCTGAGCGGAATGGAAGATAACCGCAAAGCCTGAAAAAATAGGAGCATGTTAGGTAAATAACAGACTTAATATAATAATGATGTTGAAAAACTACTTACAGATAATAAGTGATTACACTATTCATAGTGAAAATTAAAAGTTAAAATTTGAAATGGAAAATTTGTATAGCAATAAGATGGATATAGAAATAAGAAGGAATACCCAATGCTCCATAAATCTACAGCTTTAGTGTATGCGGTTCTTTTAAGAATTTCCGGTGCTAAATAAAGGCAAAATAATTTTTTTTTGATTTATTGCCTTAATCACTGTAGAAAAAAGAAGATTAAGTATACGACTCGCTAACCTACGTATCCCTGTGATCCACAATGAGTTGTCATAAGATCATTATCATCAGCTATTACTCTAGAAATACTAATATAAAGAATACAAATTAATGAATATAAATAACAGCTATTGAGTTCATATTAATTCTTGTATAAAAATATTAATTAAACTATTAAACACTCTACCCAAAATCGGCAAGAACAAGAGGTGAATCCTCGTTTTTATTTTTATACAATAGATTTTCTGGTTTCAAATCTAATTCAAATAAATATATATATATATATATATATATATTTAGATATATATATATAATTCAATTAAAATTATTTACAAATAAGATAAGCAATATATAAAGGTTACCTCTGTGCACAATATGGTGTTCATGAAGATATTTAACTGCATCAAGTACAGTCCTGATAACCTCAACCGCATCAACTTCGGTGAATTTACCGCGCTCGACCAATCTGTCAAATAACTCCCCTCCCGTCGCACTTTATATTTAATGGTAATAAGTTAAGAATAATTCACAAAAAATTAAAATTAGGCGTGTAGAATTAGAGGTCGAGTTTTAATCTTCATATTTAATTTCATATTGCCTTTGCAAAAAAAAAAGTAAGATTTTGTGATCAAAGAACATCTATTTCTTTTTGTTGAGATATATTCGAGTTATATTATTTATTCAAATTCAGGTTTTCTAAATTCTAATCGAACCACCATGTAATGTAAAGGATACAGTTCAAATACCAAATAATATTTGTCTCTTGATTCAAACCAATCGTAAAATTGAACTATATTCGGGTGATTCAATCCGCTTAATATATTCATTTCTTTTTCAACCATTGATTCTTGATTCCGTACTTTTTTTTTATCAATTACTTTAATTGCACATCGTTGGCCCGTAGTTGTTTTGGTAGCCTCTTTAACTGAACCATAAGTTCCGGTTCCTAAACATTATTTCATTTTGAAAAAAATAGACGATATAAATACAACACGCATATATATTAAACGTATAAATGAAATATATTGAAATGAGCTAAAAGAAATTATTATTTTACCTAATGTTCTTCCAATTTTGTAATATTTCTTAAAAGTTAAAGGAAAAAATTGTTGGAAACAAGGGAATACTTCATGTAATTCAAATGTTAACAGATCTGTTGCCACACCTTTTTATCATAAGTTTCCGGTTGTGGTGTTTTGTTAAAAAGGTCCGTTATACCCATTTTGTTGATTTGTTACGAAGAATCAAAGTTACGAGAAAAAAAAAAAATAAATTGTATCGTTTCTAGAAAAATGGTGGCTATATATAGTGAATTTTACATAATGACAATACATAGTAATTGTAACTGTTGCGCAAGATTTACGAGGCATAATTGAAATTTACACAATAAATTTGTATGTAATTAATTACAACGTTAATTACAGAATTAGTAAACAGGTATACAATGTACCACCAACACGTAATTAAAGATTTTGTTCCTATTAAAAATATTACCCCGGGTACTATCGCTATTCAAATTTCTTGAATAGTCCCTCCCAGGTAGTGATGCTCCCAATGAATTTTTTTGGATACAACCGGTTAAGGTACAGCAAAAACCGCATGGATCCCATTATGCGCATTAATAAAACTTTAATTAGTAACGTTTGCCTATATAGGATAACTTTCTCGTGATTGGTCGATCACATGAAATTGAATAACGCTTTACGATTGGTCAAATTATTAGATC